TAGCTTCCTACTTAGCTGTATATATGAAAAAAGGCACAACAGTAAACACGACAAGGGCCGTTTTGACTGCGACTCCCACCTACTACCGCTGCACTGTTTTGCTTCATAACTCGTTCAGAGAATCGTTTAGCAGATTTGGAAGGTAGATTTGAGATCAGCGTTCAAAGGCACATCTAGCGGTATACATCTCTTCTTGAATGGCCATGGCGACCTAGGATCCTTTCCTTGTAAGCCCAGAAGAGAGAAGCGCCAGGGAGAACAAAAATTGCTCACATTCTCTCACAAAATCCATTCCCCTCTCTCAGGCTTAGTCCCAAATGCTGTGCTGTATGTGCTCACTCACCTGGATTCTCCCCTCCCCCCTATGACATGAGCACTAATCATATTTTGCTCCATTCCACTCACAGCGGAGCCTTTGGTAAATGGTGCCCTAAATATACTTGAATTTTTGGAAATATGCTAAGTAAAAATCTATTGGAATACTTTTAACGGAAAGTCTACTCAAAGTTACTCTCTCGAAAGGTTCTTTTTGGAAAGCACCGGCTGCGATGTTCGTGTGTGATGAGGTAAGTGGTGTGATTGAGTCAAGCTATTCTTAACGCGGCATGGTTAGCTTGGATCGTCAGGAAGCGCTCCACTAAGGACTCACTGATAAAGCAAAGTGCTGGATCTGATGCCAAGACTAGTGTCATTCGGAAACGTTAAAAACAACAAATAGTAAACAAATGAAAACTAAAGAAATGACCTTGGTTTCAAGGTTGCAGGGTATCGCAGAAATAAAAATAACAACAAGTAAAATCGGACTATTGAAGGCTGATGGCTGAAAAAAATAAAGCGTACCTTTGTACTGAATTGGGTAACCATATGGGTTGTATATAGTGATGACACGTCGAGGTGAGCGTTCAGTAACCGGGAACTCTATTTCGCTTACAGACAAAAATACTGGTAATCTATCCGCATCACCATCATCCATTCCGCTCCCTTTCACCTGAAAAGTAGTAAGGCAAAATGAAAAATGAAACACGTAGGACAAACAATTCATAAAACGATTCTACGCGAAATCATCTGTTGCACACTTCCAAGAACATCATCGATTTACTCGCACTTTTCGCTGAATAGCCTTCATTTGATGAAAACGTCAAAATATAGATTTTCAAAACTTGATAGAAAATATAGAATGGAATAGCTTTTCACTATTGACTGCCATACGCTCTTAAACTCTTCAAAATCGCAGAATTGCTTGTGATATTCAATAAAGTTCGTGTAGGAACGGTAAGCAAAGGTGAATTAGAGCCTGATTCAGTAAAAACGAACAGAAATGAGAACGATGATTAATGCCACATTGAACTGCCTTTGTGACATTTGACGAAACGAAGAAGATCGAGGAGGAACGAGGTAAAAAGGAGCAGCACGCGTTGACGAAAGAGAGAGAGATGGTGCAAAGAGACCGCGATGACGTCATAGCCCATGTGACGCGAACATAGCACAACCCGTTATCAAACCTTGTGATAAGGAAGAAAGCTGAGAAATAAGTTCATGGATATCACACAGAACAGATGTTCGCCGTAAGAAGATAGCTGACCTTCGCCGAAAAAAAAAGTTCACTAAATGAAGCGCAAAAAAGGATTATTACGTAGCCAGGCAATCATCAGCTGGCAATCAAGTTTTTTTACTCCTACGAATTCCGACACATTTAACTATAGTACTACGTAATAAAGCAAATCAAACAAACTCAAACATGAAACGATACCGAAAAAGTGGCTGAAAAAAAGAAAAAAATACGAATTATTATACGCTATATAAATGAACAAGAAATGATATTAACTCAATGACAAACTTCAAACGAAGCACTAAATTTAACAAGAACATCACTAGCCGGAAGCAAATACACTTTCGAAAATCGATGATAAGTGAAATAACTGGGAATCGAGCGAACACTGAAGCAAACACACCGACTGCACGACCTATGGACAACTTGAACCCTGTTATTCAAACCGCGCTAATTTTTGTCCTTATCTGCGCTCTCTTGCTTGAATAGCATCTCTGATGACGGTAAACAAATAGGTAATCTAGTTGCTTTCACTGGAAAGGAGAAGTAAAAACAAAAATCGGCGCAATACACCACGAGTGGAAAGCAGTCTGTAATATTGCGTCACGGTTACGGTAGTCCCCAATGGCAGTGAGGGCCTAGGCCTAGCAAAGAAGTACTAGGAAGCATATGGGAACTGAGAATCTTGCCGCAGCTGCGTCGCGGTTGTTGCGCTGGAGCGCGCATTGCTACTGCCGAACCTTTGTGGTTTGTTCGCTGCTTTTGCGTGCTAAATAACTATGTAGCGCTATCGCTTGGTTGTAATTCGTTACGTGTCAATCATAATGAGTGCCCCTGTAGTAAATGTTTTGCTTGTAGTTGCTGGTTGTAGTCAAATGGAACATTTAAGGTGTTATATGTTACTTTCCTTACACGCGTTTGATTTAAATGCATAATGAAGGCTGCTGCCTAAGTTCTTCTTGTCGGTATAACGACCAAAAGACTAGGATATTCATATGTCAGAGAAACATTATAAACCAAAACTGTTTGATGAACCTAACCCTTGCATTCGGCGGCTAGGTGAGTCTGCACTACAGACTTCACAATACATGTGACGACGGCCTACAAGTAAATGCGATAACCAGTAATTATAGTGATAGCTAGTGGTTGATAAAAGGCTAAGCTATCCAGTTCAGCGCCCCAACCTGATATAAACACGTCGCCAACCCTGATACGGCCTGCCAGCTTGGCGGTCGGTGGGACCACGCCGCGGCGCCGCGCGCCTCTTCGCCCTCCACGCCGTAGCCACTTGGTAGTCCAGCAAGATATCCGGAGCCAGGGGGACGCGTACGGGCGGAGGAGGGCCGGCGGTGGGGGAGGGGGGGTGAGGGCAGTCACTTGACATGCGTGAAGAGCTGGAATGTTTTGAGCTCACCTCTCTCGCACAGCGGCCAGCCGCGCAACAGCTCCCGCCGGCGCCTCCCGCCCGCAAACTACCGGCTCGGCCTCCCCCGCCCCGCACACTAACAATAAGTTAGCACCCACTGGATAATCATTTCTTAAGGAAGACTAGTACTACGTCTTGTGACAAATCGTCGTCCCTCCTCGCTGGGAACGCCCGTCTTCCCGGCTCCGATAATTCAGTAGCCGCTAAAAAGTATTTGCTGAATGCTTTTGCCGGCCGTAACTTTTCCTCTGCTCGCACTCCACCTCTACGTCTCCAACAACTTCATTACTCTCTAAGCCGCACCACCCATTTCTTCATAGGAATCATCATGCGTGTCGAAATTTTATGAAAACAAAAAAGTGAATAGTGAAGAAGAAAGAAATTATTTTTTTGAATCCACGGGTAGCGACAAATTGCAAGTACACTTCGAATTTACTGTACACAGCTTACAGCCCCTAACAAAAATAATCCGACCGCACGTGGTAAAAAACAATTGAAGCAGTTCCAACACTTTGTTAATAACCTTTGGGAGTTACTGAAACCTTGACAGAGCCTAGTTGTGGATCATAGGATTAGAGAGGTGAGGGCTACCGTATAACGGTAGGTTCTAGAAGGTGTTCCGTATTCACTCGTCTGGCACCTGGCACCGAACTCAAATCTTCGTCTTCCAGGGCAAATAAGCCATCCAGAAAGCATTGGCACCTCTCTGTAGCAGACGCAGCGCTTACTATCAGCATGGCGTGCCCTCAGACGGAGCAGACATCTTGCCAAACTTGCCTACCGCCCCCTGAGCGTCATTGGCACCCTGATTCGGAGAGCAGCGCTACCGAAACACAGTTCGCACGACCAGAACCCGCTGGGAACACATGGAGACGAAACCGATTACCATTTGAGCAATAAACCAGCAGAGACCGTCGAGAACCTAGCAGCACCTAGACCAAGCAAAACATTTATACCGATCGCCAATCACACTACCCTCCTCCTTCAAAAACACCAGAAAGATGTGGGGATGAGGCAGGACAACCACACGCCACACAAATTAGACGACAACCTCGGCTCTCGAGAGATAGAGTAGATGGGAGGAAAAAGAGAGCACATTTTCATGGAACCACTTCAAGACTGTCACCTTACAATATTCATTCTATAAAACAGGGAGGTACGACCCTCGCATCCTGGATCGATTCTCGCTTGGGCGAACCAAGGGTTCCAATCCATCAGGCTCGATTAACTGATATCTGACCATAATCGTCTAAACATTGCTCTTCAGCAGGCAACTTCAAGTTGCCGGCCGTTCAGTACTCCCGAAAAGCTCGAAGAGGTCACTCCGAGGTCCGGATCATCACAGCGCTCGTATTTCAGTGGCCTCCTAACTTCGACGGCAACAGAGGCGTATTGTAGTCTGTCTGTAGCAGATTTGCTGAACACGCTAAGTGGTTCAGATCATCCCATAATGAACTTGCAGACTTGTCCTGGACCTTCTTTGTGTATATGTCTCGTGGGCGAGCGTTGCCGACACGGAAAAAAAAAGTTTCTCAGATTTGCTGGGCACCATGTCGATGTCTCTCACCTCGCGCACACTTTGGCCGTCGCATCTTAGATCGAGTCTCGCTCGGAATAACCGAGACTTCCAACCCATCAGGCTCAATTAACTGATATCAGACTTGTCCGGAAAGGTGCGCGACTAAAGAGTTCATTGGCTGGTTTTCACATGACAGTTTATTCATAAGCTAAACACAGTCATGATGCAATAGTATGGGCAATGGAAGTAGGATACGTGGCGCATCCCGAAAGAGCCTGGCCAGCGCCGAATGCTTCGCCGTTTTTCGAGCTTCAATCAATATATTCAAAAGTTGTATCGCACTCAAAGTAGCTAGGAAGGTACTATGTATAACAATTACTCGAGGTTGGTTTGTGTGCGATCTACGTTCAGAGTTGTAAACAGCAATATACATGTACCCTGCTTTTCGAAAAAGGAGAAAAGCGTCGGGTGCAGACCATACACCACAAGTGACGACGGCCTCCAAGTAAATCTGGTTAGTAGTGGTTCATAGTGATAGCTGATTTTTGGTAAATGATAGTTGTAATTAGTGACAACTGATAGAATACAACTGCAACAGGCTAATTTTCATTGGCAGAAAACATTTACATTTTGTGGAGGCCGTCGTCACTTGTGGTGTATGGTCTGCACCCGACGCTCTTCTCGTTTTTTTGAAGGGAGTATACTTTATTTTTATTTCACAGTTACACGAATTTACAATCAAGGCTTGGAGTGCTCGACTATACATCCCTCTTCACTGTTCTGAGCCATTTCCGAGCGGGTTTTTACAGCTTAATTTCAAGGTCATAGCGATCATAAACACAACGTAATTGATTACAGTTATACTGAACAAATTACTTATCCTTTGCGCCGCTTTTACGGCGGTTGTCCCCATTCAGCGAGTGTTTTATTGTGCCAACAAATACCATTGTATATGCTTTTGGGAGGGATTTTCGGGATGATTAATGGTCTAGTGACTTCATTCGGATAAGTATGCCATGGTTTCTGGGCTTTTTGCACCACTGGGATGTACACCGATGTAAGGAATGTGTCAAGAAACGCTGAGCTCGAAATTTTCAAAAATATCGAAAAAAAATGTGGAATAATTCTTTGATAATTCATGAAGAAAATGGTTCCTACCTGTACATTCACCAGTCACTTTTTAGCTTGCAGTGAAGTGTGTTCTGTATGTACGCTTTTTGGTTCATTCTAGACAGGGTCACTGTGCATTGCGCAGATTATAAAAAAATTACTCTCCTGATCCTTCCAAAAATACTCCCCCGTCTCGATACGACCCCCTTACCATCCCCGACCACCACCCTCAACATCATGGCTGTTTTTATAGTATGCCACCACTCGACACCCTTCAACTCCCCCCACTTTCTCATTCAAAACGCTCACCGTGCAGGAGGGAGAAGTAGGTAGAGAGGGGACACGCATACACATGTCTGAAAAAAACTG